GCAGGAATGCGTAGCCGTGGCGGCCGCGCCGCAACCACGACCGCGTTCGAGTCTCTTCGGAGAGGCGCGCCCGCAGCGACGCCAGTTGTATCGCTAGTTGGTCGAGTCGCAGCTGTGACATCAGGACGTATTCGTCCCATCTCTCCTTCCAGAGGTAGAAGGCGTCACTGCGGTCGGTGGAGATGTCCAGTCGGTCAGGGCGGATCGGCTGCAGGCTCGTCAAACCACAGCGATTACGAAGGACTGTTCTAGAAGCCCTCCACGCCAGCCACCTGGGGAAGGAGAAGACGAAGGCCCGCGCAAGACAGATCGTCTACTGGCCCGGGATCTATCGGGATGTGGAAAATGTCACCCGCTGCTGTACCAGCTGCCAGAGAGATCTACCCGCTCAGCAGCAAGAGACCATGATGAGGAGACCGCCAGCGGAAAGGCCGTTCGAACTACACATCGACTTTGCCGATCACGCCGGCAGGAAGTACCTCGTGGCAGTGGACAGATACTCCGGGTGGCTGTTTGTGGCCGACCTCGGTGTAAGCGCCCCCGCTTACACCGGTCCGAAGGACGATAGCAGGCGTCATGACGAGCGCACTCGCTACGCGACTAAGCGTAAATGGACGGCACGGGAAAAGGGCTTTCGGCGGTACCCGGCTTTTTGATGTCGTGTTCAGTAAGTAATGGTTTTATCTCTTTATCAGGTGCCCAACTCCCTTGGACACCTGATAGCGGATGTCAGAATAACAGCAGCACTCCCATTCATATGTTATTTCAGGTGTCGTCAATTACTGTCCGATTAGCGAATTCCAAGCAGCCGACTTATAAAGCACTAATGTCCTTTGTGTCCATCATAATCGGACCTTGTATGTTTATTCTGCATCAGATTATTTCCTGCAAAAAAAAATCTAAAGTTCATTTCTCAATTATTCAAGTCAAATCAGATGATGTTACTTTTAATGCAGGTAATACAGAATCATGGTAGAACACAGCACGGGCAATACACAATTCGCTTATGTGTCTGCACCTTTTACATTGCTAGTGCTTATTTTACAGGAGCCGTGCGGCGGAACGGGCTTACCCAGGACACCAACAACGGCCAGCTGGAGGTGGCGCCACGAAAGTGGTTTACGGGTGCCAGGAACCGCGACGGAGGCCGCCAGGAAAGGAGACCAGCTGGAGTTTAAGCGGAGGAGCAGATGAGAGAAGAAGTCTAGAGATGAACAGAAGAGAGGAGAGAGTTTAAACAGCATTTTTGTGTTTATCGATAATATAAATATTGATCACTGACAGTTTGTTTTGTTGCGGTGGCGAACGTTCAGCAATGATCAGGGGGAGTGATTGAAATAGCAGACATCGATTATATTATAATCATATTGAAATTAATTGTAGGTTCTGGTGGGAACTAAGATGGGCTTTGGTGAATATTTATTGATTAATACAAACGATGCTAGGGAGGTGTGACCCAGCATGGGGCCCACCTAGGGCCCACATCTGCTGGCCCACGTGGACCCCATATGGTACCCACCTTGAGCCCATGTGGGCCAGCCCAGGTGGGCCACATATGGTACCCATCTTGAGCCCATGTGGGCCAGCCCAGGTGGGCCCCATATGGTACCCACCTTGAGCCCACGTGGGCCAGCCCAGGTGGGCCCCATCATTTACCCAGGGACAAATTTATGTGGGCCCCACATGGGCTACCCACATGGGTCCCACCAAGTGGCCCACCTGGGCCCCATGTGGGGCCAAGGTAATAATGTTGGCTGGGTATGGGTCCCAGCTGGGTCCCATTTCGAACCCACATGGGCTCCAGGTGGGATTTTTCGCTTATACCCATTTGGGTCCCGGCTGGGAAAGCCCATATGGGACCCGGCTGGGCCCCATATGGGTCCCATGTCGAACCCACATGGGCCCCATGTGGGATTTTTCGCTTATACCCATGTGGGTCCCGGCTGGGAAAGCCCATGTGGGACCCATATGTGCCCCGGCTGGGCCCCATTTGGGTCCCATTTCGAACCCACATGGGCCCCATGTGGGATTTTTCGCTTATATCCATGTGGGTCCCGGCTGGGAAAGCCCATGTGGGACCCATATGTGCCCCGGCTGGGCCCCATATGGGTCCCATTTCGAACCCACATGAGCCCCATGTGGGATTTTTCGCTTATACCCATGTGGGTCCCGGCTGGGAAAGCCCATGTGGGACCCATAAATGCCCCGGCTGGGCCCCATATGAATCCCATTTCGAACGCACATGGGCCCCATGTGGGATTTTTCAATTATACCCATGTGGGTCCCGGCTGGGAAAGCCCATGTGGGACCCATATGTGCCCCGGCTGGGCCCCATATGGGTCCCATTTCGAACCCACATGGGCCCCATGTGGGATTCTTCAATTATACGTTAGGCGGCACGGGCGGACATCGATAGCAGCGCCTCTATCGGTCACTAGGGAAAGCTGGGCTGTAGGCGACGAAATACCGGCTGAGTTGTCACACGTTGAATAGGTTTATAGCCATTCGTCTTGTGAAAAAGTTGAACTTTTGCCTTTAATATTTCTACAGGCAATTTTAGAAGTGTCTTCACATGGATTACAAAACCGTTTAGATTATTGTATTCACTTCTAGCCTTCCCTATTGTTCTTGATGATGCGGGAACTATTTCTAATTAGTGTTTCTAGCTTAGTAAAAGAACATACTGTGCAAACGATGAAAAGAGCATAGATGGAAGATTTTAAATGCAATTTTCTCTAACAATTAATGGTAAATTCTCAACATATCAAGGAAAAGGTGCATGCTAACTGATAATTTAAAGTTCTTGGGGCCAGTTGTTTTCTTCTTTTCTTACGTCGCCCCAATGGCCGCGAATACCCTTGTGATAACGCCTATCGACCCATGTGGGTCCCGGCTGGGAAAGCCCATGTGGGACCCATATTTGCCCCGGCTGGGCCCCATATGGGGCCATCTGGGCTGCCCATATGGGACCCAGTTGGACGCCCATGACAAACACATCTGGGCCCCAAGTGGGCAGCCCAGATGGGCCCCAGTTTGCTGCCCACTTGGGGCCCATATGGGCCCCATTTGGGAAGGCTGGCTGGGAGTCTTCGTTTATTTTAAAATAATAGATGAATGGTACCTAAGTGCAAAAAGCGAGTATGAGATCGCTGCAGTCTAGCAATTACGTAACAGAACACAATGACTTCCACTCGCGGTCAAACCCTGTAACATTATGCTCCTCGAACAGTCGAGACCGGTCTCGGCGCACTGTGCGGCCTCCAGCCGTCCGGAATTCGCCGCTACTTCCGGCCCGGGGCCCGTGCCGGTACGAGCTGGCCGGATTTACATGGGTAATGGCCAGCGGGTGGCGCGGCGCCCCGCACTGCCAATTGGCCCCGCTAACTGCCGGGTGTGGCTCCATACAGCACGGACGCCCGGCCGCCGCCCATGGGGTGAGGGACCCACCGCCGCGCCGCGAAGCCGGGACACCGCGATGCCACGACGGGGAGCGGCTGAGAATGGCCCACGGCACATGCTCTTGTCAAGTTTGATGGTTTCGATTGATTTTCGGCAAGGACAGGGCCGGGTACTTTACATAGAAATATGACGATACCGTCTATATCTGTCTTAGGGAATGAACTTATACTATATCGCTTATGTATTATTGTTTACTGAGTATTTGATCATTAGCCTCATGGACAAATAAAAATTGATGGAGTGTGTTGATTTGCACAGTACCTATTGAAACATCACAGCTAATGACCTTCGTGCCGTTTATAGCCAGTTCATTAATTAAGTGAACCTTTTTATGCATTTTACTGTCGGGACTCTGGGTCAATCTGTAAAATTCGTCAATCTGAGTCAATGCAAACACTTTGGTTACTGTGTATCCTGAGGCATGAAACAGGTCACTGCACTTTAGCTGGGCCCGGCTGTAACTACTCGGAATTCGCGATCCGCTATGCTAGTTTGTCGTCAGCGACAACGGCACAGAACTAATCTCATGGGGCTGTCATTATGGCTCGATGATGGCTAGCCGCCATTTTCACTGCCAAATAGCCCGGACTAAGCTCTGATTGGGGACACCGGGTTATTGCTACTGTTGGCGAGGTTATTGCGCATTTGCATTGGCATAGAGGGGTGGTACAGCAGAAGACTAGTAAAAACGGCAAATGTCACCTGAGGCTGACTCTCCCTTGACCTTGTCAGCTGGTGGGCCAAGGTGTGTTGCTCCAAGCTGGAAGCTATTACAGTCTTTTAAAATTCTTCTCGAGTTGGTTATTGTGCAATAATTAGCTAGCAGTTATCCCGGCTTTTTAGTTGATAACGTTGGAAACAACCTATACTAAACACATTTCTCGACACATTTCAGCTGTGGGTGAACCGAGAAAACCATCGATGTTGATATGCATCTTTTTAGGAACATAATAAGCGTACGAGCAGCTTTCACTGAAACAGCTCGGTATGAAGGGCAATGACAGACCCCCCACTCCCTCCAATTCGCAGACATGCCGCACAAAGCATTTCAGGGAGTGGCTCCCTCCCCATTCCTACGAGCCATTCACCAGTGCGCACCCTCGCCGGCGCCATGACACCCGCGACCGATCAGCCAATCAGACTCAACCACAGTGCGCGGCAGCTGGCTCTGACCAATCAGAGGCCATGACACATCGGCGGGCGCTGTTACTGCCGCTGACCGGCGGCCGCGGGCGGTGCTCCCTCCCCTCCCCCTCCCCAGTCTGCGGTTCCGGGTGGGGTGGGGTGGGGCTCCGACTGCTCCCTGCACCCGTGCTCGGGGGAGGGGGCGGGGCCAACCGGACGTGTGGCTAGTGGTTAGTGACCCTCTGTGTACACAAACCGATTGGTGATTGAATCGATCGGTGCCCGTCTGCCTCCGCCCCCCCCCCCTCTCTCTCTCTCTCTCTCTCTCTCTCTCTCTCTCTCTCTCTCTCTCTCTCTCTCTCTCGCGCACTTCCTCTCCCCTTGGGTGAATAAAACCGCGGTTGTTTTGCACTCACGCCCGAGGCAGATTTTCTCGAAGTAGTTATAGTCCTCCCTCGGCTGGAGGTCGCGGGTGCGGCCCTGTGTGTTGCGGTCCAGGCGGTAGCAGCGCTGGTTGGAGTAGTCAATCACCAGTGCAGGACACTCGGAGCCCGCCTGAGTAAAGGAGATAGACCAAAGTCAGAGTCGCGGTAGATTCGGCCGAGTCACATCGTAAGATGTGTCATGATCAAGATATCAGAATGTTCCGACAGAATATCGAGATCTGAGTGACTTTCCAGTAAAAAGAAACACTTGCACGAGCATTACATCAAAGTGCTGAAATCGTCACCTGGGCGGTAACTCTGGAGGCAACAGAGTTTCAACTTGTATGCACAATGGCGTTCAGACTGAGGTGAAGATATGGTCGCACACAACTCACCTCTTCGCACTGTTCTGTGCAGGCGGTGGTGACTCCCTGCAGGGTGGACGAGGGGACGTCGAAAGGCTCCTGGTCGGCGCCACGCAGAATGTGGCCGGTGATCTTCTCGTAGGTCAGAAGACCGTCGTCACACGATTCTGTCGACGAATAGATGGAGAGCGTGATGATACAATGGGCGAGCGGATGGTGAATTGGAAGAGCATGATAAGTTAGAAGTTGCGTTATTTTGTAAGAAGTTGTCAATAATTATTCAGCTTAAACTTTTTGTGTCTGGCTCGGCAACTGTGGTTGTTGGTGCACTGCTATCACTTCACCGGAAACGGCAGCGATTCATACAACTCCATCCAGTGTCCGGTTTGTCAGCTCTGTAAACCGTCCCGTTACCGTTACCCACCCCTCCCCTTTCCCTTCTCCCTCCAGTTGCTGACCGAGAGTGCAGACTCGCTGGCTGGTGACGGCATCAGCCAGCGGCGGCAGCGTCACCCGTCCCAGGCTGACGGCGTCGTCACCGCTCAGGTAGCACCTGTTCCGCTCGCGGTCGAACGTGTACGAGCGGCAGACGAAGCGCCGCTCGTTGGTACAGGCGGTCTCGCAGGAGGTCGCGGAGCTGGCAAAGTCCAGTGAGTCGGGGGTGAGAACGCTCACACCGCGCTCCGGAGGGTCGTACCGGCAGTCGGGCAGCTCTGAGAAAAGGAGGGCGCATCGTCAGTGGGAGAAATGCCAAAGCAGTGTTGACATTTTTGTTTTTGTTGTTGAAATGGCAAAACATCCAGCATCTTCCACTATGTAGATGGGTGAGGGTGAGCCAAGACGAATCACATTTACCTCTAAACTCAGGAAAAACATCACGACCGTTGTATGTTGCACCAAGACCCCTCAGTTCAGGACACGGATCGGATTATTTAGCTATGACGTTATGTAGCGCACTGGCTCTCTGTTTCAACTCACGTCTGGCGCACTGGTTCTCTATTCCAACTCACGTTTGGCGCACTGGTTCTCGAGGTACTCGGTGGTCCCTCGGCCTGGTCGGAAGGCGTCCGGCTGAGTGCGCCGGTCCTCCCTGCTCAAACTACACGTGCGAGCCACGCTGTCGTAGTCGGCTGACCTGGGAAGGGCATGATGGGTTAACAGGTCAGAGCGGTGGGTCAGGTCAACGGGAAATAGAAATATACGTGAGATATGTGGAAGCATCCGATTTCCAAGATTGTTACTAGTGTAATGCTCATATTCCTTCAGTTCATTTTATTTTGATGTCAGGTATCAATTTTGTTCATATAAATCATGCATGCCTCTCAGATGATTTGCAAATAAAAGGAGAGCAGTGTTATCCCATGCGTAATGACGTTATGAGTACGTCACGAGCTCCCTCTGCCGCCAGGATGATGTTTTTCACGCGTCGTCCCCGCGCACTGACCTGCAGTTGAACTCTGTCTCCATGAGGCAGGCACGCTCGCAGTCGACCCGATTCTGAACGGATCGCACCTCTTTGGTGTCAAAGCCCTCGAGTGAGGCGCCGAGCACGCGCTCAAACACCCAGAGCCGGTCGTCACCACACATATCCGAGAACTCCTCGGCAACTGTCGCCGAGAAACATTAGGTTAAGGGTTAGCTGTTGGAACCCTTAACAGGAAAACATTAGCTGTTGCGTCAGGGGTCAAAGCAACGGACAAAGCTAGGCCTTTTGTGGCTATTACAGTGGGCAGAAAACTTTATCGTAAGAAAAAATCTTAAAATGCACCTATTTATCCCGTAACCAAATAAAAACGCAATCATTCTGTAACTGCTAAATAATTCACCATGGAATGCTTATAGATATCGCGCGTGGTTTCATGATAGAGTAGAGCTGCCCGTCAGACTCACCTCCCCGGAGACATATCTCCTCGTAGTAGCTGCTGCCTTGTCTCTCTACCAGGTCGACCTCGCGGCCGCTGGTCTCCAGGTCATACGACGTGCACCGTCCGGACGGGTAGTCTGTGTGAGAGACGATGTGAACGATGTCAGGATTTTTGAAGTTTTGTGACGTAAATATATCCCGCAAGAATCTATGCACATCTCTAAAGTTGCGCACCCAATTCACCACGTCAACTTTTATCATAATGCCCTAAGAGCCTCGGTGCCACGGGCTGACGCGAGCTCATGACGCCGGGGCCAGCGCTATCGTCTTGAATGGCGCAGCAGCCGCCTGCCGGAGATGATGATACTGTACCGCAGAGCAGCAGTGTCGTGCGGCACAGCATACCTACCAGTCACGCCGCCTGACGCGCTCAGCCGGTTCCAAAAAATATTGGTGAAGAAACGCTACAGAGTAATGTCAGCGGAGTGAAGTCCCCCCCCCCTCCCCATCAACCCACCCCACCCAAAAAAAGTCAGCAAATAACATATGCTGTCTGGATGAACTACGGGTCCGATGAGACTCACCGAGTACGAAGCCGCGGCAGTAGTCTGCCTGGCTGCAGAGCGCCGTGCAGTCCCGTACCACCGGCGAGTTGGGGTTCACCAGCAGGTCCTGAGTCTCGGCACCTCGAGGCTGGAACGTGCGCCCCACGGTCTTCTCGTAGGTCAGCGTGCCTCCAAAACATTGTCCTGCAAGGGAGGAAGGGTCACAGGTCATACGCAGCAGTCAAACGGTGACTTGTTAGTGTGCCTTGTAAGATTTGATGTTGATATTTTGTAGACGGTTGTTTTCTAAATCATGGACTGATGGGAAGATATGCTAACGGATGCTAACGGATGCCCATGCTAACGGATGCAGAGCTAGGGCGCGTTATCACAGGCTTGGGTTTGGTTGATTAAAAGATAAGATTAACGAACCTTGAGTGAAGGTTTTTTTTTACTCCACTTCTAATGGATTCATCTATTTTGTGTGCGTCTTCATAATCTTGATACGTGAGGAACTCCTATTCGAGGGTCGTGTCGATGCGTTCCTTCTCTTGAAGTCCGTGTCCTACTTCATCGCTAGTTCACCCCTTGCGGACCACCCCCGCGCTGACTGGCTGTGTACCACTGTCCGCGCCCTGGCCCGCTGCTGCCACCCCGCCGCACAGTGGCCTTGGTGACAGTGAGCTCATGTCGCACGGATAACGGGCCTGCACCCCGCGCCACGGGAGTGGCCTCTTTGTCCTGCTGTCAATGCCATGCGTGCGTCATGTGAGCCGGCGCTTACGGCAGCCGCCGTGAGCCGCGACCGATAGAAGCTCGGGGATCGGCGTGAATTGAACACTGTGGCTATTGTTGTCGGTTTGTTCGGTGCACATGATTAAATGGACTATATCATTTGTTGCATTAGAAGTCAACAATCAAAGCATGTGTGTGTTGCTTACGTTATATTTATGATGAAATGTGTACTTGTCTGCAGGCGCGTTTTTGCGAATGAGATAGACGTTTGTGTAAAACGATCATGCTTCGATTCACACTCACCTTCTGAGAGACTGACGGATGAAAGTAAAACTGCCAAAGCCGCTGTTGCCTTCCATTTCATATCCTTCTTCCGACGCCCATCCTGAAACAGGAGCAGACCTTGGTTATGAGCACATCACCGAACTAACCAGCCAGCTATCGTCCCTGAATCCCCACTTGTAAGCGATAATCGCCCATGACCCGGTCAATCACCCATGCTGATCATCATTACCCAAAATATCACCCAAAACTCGGGATTCGCTGAAAAAATCATCGGCCAGTGACCGGCTGTGCCCTCGGCAGCTCGGGGCCGACGGCTATGACGGGGCCGGGAGGGGGGGGGGCGCTGACGGGGGCGGGGGCGGGCTCGTCACGGCTGTGTAGGTCCAGCGGGGGACACGCCCCTCGTAATGACGCGGGACTGCGGCGGCGGCTCTGGTGCCGGCTCTGCCACTGGCGGGCAGAGACCGGACAGGGAGAGGGCAGGGACACGGGCTCACAGACATCAAGGACACGTGGGAAATAGAGACGAATGGACTGGGGGACAAATGGGTGTGTGTAATAATAGTGCAATAATTCCTTACGGTTGCAGCAAAAAGAGAACAGTGTTTTATTAGCTTATACCCGCAGAAGTAGCATATAAAGGGTTAGCAAAAAGTAAGGACATAATCACTAGTCTATAACGAAGTATGTAGAATAGCTTCTTCACAGATCTCGATTATCTCTAAAAATAATGCGGTGCCAGGCCAGTATGCCACCTTTACCGGCCACGCTACGACCCAGTCCTCTCTGGCCTGGGCTCGCCCTTTGTTCTACCCTGCACTCTCCAAACTCGGCCGCAGCACCACGGGATGGACCCGCCATCCGGATACAGCTCTCTAATAGGGGCCATTGTTGCAGCGCTGACTGGGTGTTCACCGTTATCACACTGGTCAGACACACTGACGGCTGGTCTGGCTACGGGGCAACCACGCCAGGCAGGGCACGCACGCCGAGTGTCACTTGGCTGGTGGGCATGTTGGACAGGTCCTAGATCTCGATTGTGAGCAGATGCAGGGTTTCGGGTATTTATAACGTTCTAGTGTCCAGTAGAGTTCTGCACGGCTGCAATTTTCCACAGCCTAGCCGCCCCGCAGCCGTGGCTCCACAGCCACAGCCGCCCACAGCCGTGGCAAACTGTGGGCAGCCAGCCGTCAGCCGGCCGTGGATACTTTCAATGAAATGCAACCAAATAGTATATAATAAGTTGTTTTTAGTTTAAACATATAGCCAAAAGCACATTGCAATGGGCTATAGATTCTCAAACTCATGAAGCATCATAGGTTAAGTGGTTGTGTATCTGGCTTTAGGCCGAAGGCCTGAAGCCTGATGCGCATCGCATGCCTACACAAGCCCTTGCAAGGGGCTAAGAAAGATGGGTAGGTAGGTACCTACATCAACAGAAAACATAAACAACGAACCAGAATAGACGCACTAGCAGTGTAGACATCTAATGCCAAATCCTGAAGCATGTTTGTGGGACAGAACAACAGACCCTGATGCTTTTCATTACCAATGTTAGGTATGGAAAATGAAACTGAAGTTGATGGACTGTCAAACAGTGATTGTCTAGTCAAAACTCTTGCTTCTTTCTTACCTTGCATATTTTCTGGGGTGTGATATGCCAGGCTTGAAGCAGCCTTCTGAGCAAGTCTCAAACAAATTTGATATGCAAGGCATCAAAACACTAATGAGCATCCAAGAAAGAAAAACATTTATCTATTTTGATTTTTCCAAATAATGATCTTCGCTCAAATCCCCAAGGACGTGCGAGCCACAATTGCCTCTTTCAATCAAAAATTATACTTGAGTTTTTAATGACGTCAATAGCAAAGAAGTGGCAACAAATTGTTTTGTGTCACTACAAACAGCCATACAAATTATAATTGATATATAATAGTAATATACAGTTGAAAACTTGCTCTCAAACAAAGATTAATCATCAAATTTTTACATTTTCAGAAGAAGACGTCATTTTATTAGTAAAGTCAACAGCTCGCGTAAGAAATATTGTGTTCAGGGATCTCACCGTCATGTGAATTACGTGTTCAGGGTTTTCACCATCATGTGAATCAACCGTAAGTAAGGTTCATGCTCACTTATAATCTAATTTCATTGGCTTCGTTGATCAGCATTTTCTGTAAGCGGTCACTCACACACCAGTTAGAACATAAAGCGCCAGTTTTATATTATGTAATTGGACTTGCCGAAAATCCAGAAATACATCTACGAGTTATTTTAGATATTTTAGATAATATTTTATGAAGCCTTTACCTGCACCTTTACCTAGGCGTGATTTCATTTTCTATTAACTGAAAGCATTACTGAACGCTCGTGTTCAATAGCTGTAAGGTGCTCTCCTAATGACCAGGTGAGATTGATTTGAGAGGGATGTGACAATGCAACATGTTGCATTTTCTGAAACTGTCAAGCTCTTGAGTCTTGATGATGAAGGAACAATTGGTACCTATAGGTAATTAGTATTCTATACCAGAGTGCAAACTTTCCTACAGCAAATGGTAAAACCATTACAGGTTTTCAAAGGCTTCACCAGTTTCAATGTTGCTGGGCATCCTTTGCATGATTTTTACAGGCTAGACTGCTTATAAGAATGTAAGATTAAGGATTTAAAATCTTATTTTTGAGTACTTAAGATTGAGCTTGAAATCTCACAGCCGTGGCCACAACCGTAGCCGTGTTCTTGGAGATATTTGCAGCCGCCTCGGCCCACAGCCGTGGGGCTGCAGCCAGCCGCGGCTGCAGCCGGCCGGTGCAGACCTCTAGTGTCCAGAGTTCAAGTTCATTATTAAATCGTTGAGCGGGTGATGCATGCAGAATTGCGGAGGGTAATTGTGCAATATGCAATGTGCATGAAGTGCCCTAAATATGTATTTAGCACAGTAATTGATATTGGGTACTTGCTAATTATGCCGTTAGGACGAGAAGTGCTGGGGCAGCAGAACGCCAGCAATGCCTTCCATCGTGGCAACGGCTTCCTGTCTTTAAAAAATTACCTACGAGACTTTCGCATGGTTTACCATGTTGCAAAGGGCACCGCTATTTATTTACTGGAAAATAATTAAATGCTGTTGAATACGTTCGCGATGGGCCATGGTCGTCCTGGATCCTGGATCTTGTTACTTTACAAGGTAACGTCTGAATGACAAAGTCAAGTGTTGGGCATTATAAGCACGAATCATAGCCTTTTTCGGTCTGTTTCATTTCCGGTGTGTTAATCTCAATGGCGATGAATTCTCGTGAGTAATTGTCATACTCTAAGCCTGTTGATTGCCAAATTAGCGCATTGAGCCGCCTGTCGCCACAGCATGAGCCTGGTCAGGCGGCACCCTCCTTGCTCCTTTCCTATCCAGCATCGCAGTCTCTGGGTAGACGTACGTACTCGATACACAGGTTCACTCGGTTGGCAGGTGAAAAAACGCTGACTTTGGGACTGCCAATAAAATCTGGAAAAGCAATGGCTTGCAGCTAGACGAATGAATGAATTTGATTTGCATAAAATGAAACAATGAATGCGGCAGATAAGAGTGCCAAACCAGTGCCGTTCTAATTGCCCTGTCGAGCTGGAGGTGGCCGTAGTGACATGACTCAGATCTATCTTCAATATAGTGCTGTAAGCAGAGTTTGACATTTTCAATGCGATGCCAATTAAACTACATGACGAATTTCGTCATGTGTAGTGGCTCGTAGACATAATCTTCACCAACAAAGTAGACATAATAGTAGGAAGACATTTGAGAGCGATGAGTCTTCATTTTTGTGTATATTTCGCCTTTAAAGTCTTTGTAGACTTTTCATTTACATGTTATTAAAAAATGTGGCATGAGAGGCTGTGGCCCACCAATCACGTTGACGGTTGTCATAATATAAATATTTCTTATAGCATCCGTAAGGCCTGTTGAAAGTTGATCACTGACGCATAACATGCGTCTAACTCTTCCCATGCCTTTGAATAATAATGAACTTCGATTCGCTGGGGTTCACGTTCACATTGCCACACAATGCCTATGTAGAAAGTGATGTAATCTTGTATAGTTTTAAATGACACGTAACCGGTATGTAGCTACTTTGCATGAGGTCTCTTGAAGCTCTTCGCTTATACTCCTTACAACCTTGAACGCTTGACATACGTCTCGGTAGGATGGGTGAAAGTGATGATGTTGATTGCTGTTATATATGTTGGAAATGCTTATTGCTGTCAGGCATCGATGACTGACTTGATGGTAGTGCGTAAACAATGAGTAATCACTCAATCACATAAAGGAAGCTATTTTTCGCCTCGAGAAGCAGAATGAATGTCAACTGCGCGATGGGTTTTCCACTTCAGTGCTATTGAAGCCTACGCAGCTGGAACCTCTCAAGCTGACAAGGACGATTTCTCAAGGGCAGCTTTGTGACAAACATAGAAGAAGCAGAAGTAATGAAATTATTCAGCTCTGCATAGCGAATGCATTCCTTTTATACGAGCTGCAAAAAAAAAAAAAGATGGATGAGCCTTCGTTGAGGTAGTTATTATTGAATAAAAATATATTTTGATTTCAGCCTCAGCCGAGGCCGACAGTGTTTGTGGATAGTTGGTTGTGGACCAGAGGAGCCTTGAGGAAGAGTCCGGCGGGCCGGAAAACATGCCACAAACAGTTACAATCCACCATGCTGGCAATCATTTCCAATATTTGATACTATGGTACGAAATTTATTATCTACAGAGTTGTGACTGCTAAAATGTGATGTTCTGTTTTAAAGTGAAACATGTGCTCTTAGACAAACTGGCAGCGATAAGCAAGAAAGAGCCGTGGTTTCGAATTTTCGCCGGTAGCAGCCGTGGACCGAACATCAGACATCTCGGATCCGATCTGTGGGTCGGTCTACCCTATTTCTGCTCTACAACCTCAGATTCGCTCCCGACAGAACAGTTCCGCCATTCCATCCATCCGCTCACACCGAACCATTTCCGTGTTTACCGTTACCCCACTGGCCACGGTTTCCGAACAAACGGTAAAAGTTCCACGGGTGGGGCTGGACGAGTGGGTGCGGCTGGGCGGGGTGCGTTGGGGAACAGTGTGGCACGTGACAGGTCAAACGGTCCACCCCTGGGAGGCAGCAGTGGTCAGTGAACCGAACCGAACCGGACCGGACACTGGGCAATGCCGGAGATAGTGGACCGTTGCCTACCTGCTCAAATGTGAAAGCCTTCAAATCGACCACAAAATAAGTCGGCTGTTGGTTTTGTAGCGACAAGTGGTGTAAGACATTCGAGATCTCATTACTAAAAAGATCGTCGGAAGAAATCAGTCACAAAACTGTATTACTCTGGAGAAATGGCATGAAACATTTAATGACTGACCATTGAAGAAAATAGAAATGTCCTCAATCACTTCGGTCAAACGCCCTAACTACTGAAACAGTTTTTAGTCGGCGTTGCGTGAAAGTGCATTTTAGAGTACATAAACAAGAAAGATAGCTTTGCACTCAGTATCTAGGTTGTATTTGCACGAATACAAAACTTGCAAATAGTTTTAATTGCTCAATTCAAAGTTCGGAATGACAAAATTTCGAAAAATGACACATGTACGGTGGAATCATACATACGACACAGACGGTGTCCTGACTGTCTAGCGTCACACACCGAGGGTATTTGTTCTTAGACCGCCCGCACACCGGACCCGCAGCTTGGCGAGCCCCGCGGCCCCGACCCCACCGCTTACTTCCGGTGCCCGGAGTGTCACCGCCGGAAGGTAGTGACGTCATCTGTGACGTCACGGTCACGGCGCGTGAAGACGGGAGCGTCGTCACGCTACCACGCACGGCCGACAAGGCCGCGGCCGAGGAGGATGAGCGATGTGGGCGCACTGGTGTGTGTAATGTGTTTTTATGGGGGCTTCTCTGAAAGGGAAAGAAAGAAAGAGAGAGAGAGAGAGAGAGAGAGAGAGAGAGAGGGAGAGAGAGAGATGGGGGAGGGAGAGAGGGAGTGGAGGGAGATTAAGAAAGGGAGAAAGAAAGAAAGAAAGAAAGAAAGAAAGAAAGAAAGAAAGAAAGAAAGAAAGAAAGAAAGAAAGAAAGAAAGAAAGAAAGAAAGAAAGACGAATAGAGATGGAAAGGACAGAGGGGGAAGAAAGCGAGAGAGAGAGAGTAGGGGCGGAAAGGGGTAGAGATAAATAAAAAGAGACAGGAATGGGCAATGCGAAACAAAGAGAGACAGGGAGGGAATAAGAGAGAAACGAATTGTGGTAGGGAAAGGCAGACAGAAACGCATAGTGGTAGGGAAAGGCAAAGAGAAACGCAGAGGGCTGGGGGAGATGCAGGGAGAGAGAAAGACAGACAGACAGGGATGATAGGTACGATGCAGGGTCATGATGAGAGTAAGACCGCTCCGAGCAAAACAAGAAGCGTTCGACACAGTGGTCTAACTACAAAAGGTGGAGTTGGAGTGGTCTTTGCACCACACAGGGTGTATCACGGCAATGACAGCTCATGTAAGGCCCACGTCAGAGAGGTAAGCGAGGTCGACCATATAGGGTAGGGTTGTTCAAAAAAACCGAATTTTGGAAAAGTATATGGGCTCATGGCTCATGTGGTGCGGTATTCTTTTCTGAGTCCAATGATACCCTTTTTTCCGAAAAGTATTACTGCTAGGCGCTGCTCAAACGGCTTAAAGAGGACCATGTTACGCCCGCCGACCGGCCGGTGTCAATAAGGGCGAGAATTCGAAGCCGCACGGCGGCGGCAGCGCCTTATCGGCACCGCGCGCCACGACATCTGCCGGGCGGCCGGCTGGGCGGTGGGAAGTTATAAGTGCGTGGTCTTATTGCACACGATCGGGGTGAGCTATCCCATGTTTTCGGGGCGGAAAGTTTCAGTGCAGCATCGGTGCGTCTGCCACGGTGGTCTGTGTCGATGGTATAGAAAATAACTCAAGCAGAGCTCAGAAAAGAATGAATGATTCCGGGTAGTTGCCTCGAAATAATCCGTTTCAAGAATACAGCTGCCTTCTTAACGTACTGTATCACTTGTTAATTCTTCAAAAAGCAAGCTCTGAGCAATAACAGACTTCTTTGCATTGCTGTTGACAATTTAAGTTGCTTTTGGACGGTGGCTCGCAGCCCCAATATGCTGCCGTGTAACTCTATTCCAACGACGAAACGGCAACTTAGCGAGAATCGAAAATTTAACGAAGTAGGTACAACAGGAGCTGGCAAGGCTCCTGCATTGGTCTATCCGTCATGAGTGACACACCGGAGTAATGTGTCACGTCAGGGCAGAGCTGTGTTCTATGCCGGGTCTGGATTCGGGTCTTGATCGGCATCGGTGGGCACGGCCGCCCTGGCCGGACTGCCGGCGTCGCTTATGCTCGAAGGATTGGATAAACGGCGCTTGATTTATATGAGTAGGTACTCCGGCTAATGTCTCTACTCATGTCTCACTTCGTCACACTGTCAGGGTGGCCACTCTGTCATTTCCAGACATGTTATGTTTTCTTTCGACCCGCTAATCTAAGTTACACCTGGCGTCGATTCTGTTGCCCCAGCATCTGACATCAACGTATCTGAATAATGACATTGGTGACGCATATGCTCGTCAAAGCCACCCCCAAACTTGGGCCGATGACTGTCGGGTCTCCTCCATATTCTGTCCTTGTGCGTACTGCATTGCCAGCCCCTGCTGTACGTATATCGTGAATTTTCGATTCTCGCAAAGTTGCCGTTTCGCCGTTGGAATAAAGTTGCGCGGCAGCATATTGGGGGTGCGAGCCACCGTCAAAAACTAACGTAAATTGTCAACAGCAATGCAAAGAGGTGTGTTATTGCTCAGAGTTTGCTTTTTGAAGAATTAACAAGTGATACGGTACGTTAAGAAGGCAGCTGTATTCTTGAAACGGATTGTTTCGAGGCAACTACCCGGAATCATTCGTTCTTTTCTGAGCTCTGCTTGAGTTATTTTCTATACCATCGACACAGACCACCGTGGCAGACGCACCGATGCTGCACTGAAACGTTCCACCCCGAAAACATGGGATAGCTCACCCCGATCGTGTGCAATAAGACCACGCACTTATAACTTCCCACCGCCCAGCCGGCCGCCCGGCAGATGTCGTGGCGCGCGGTGCCGATAAGGCGCTGCCGCCGCCGTGCGGCGTCCAACTCTCGCCCTTATTGACACCGGCCGGTCGGCGGGCGTAACATGGTCCTCTTTAAGCCGTTTGAGGAGCCCCTAACAGTTAATACTTTTCAGTAAAAAGGGCATCATTGGTCTCAGAAAAGAATACCGCACCACATGAGCCATGAGCCCATATACTTTTCCAAAATTCGGTTTTTTTGAACAACCCTAATATAGGGGAATGACAGTGAGAGGGCTTAGTGTTGGGCCTGGTAAGTACGACGTGAGCCCCATGATGTGTGATAGCTGGAACTGCAAAGCATCCGGGATCCGGAATCAGCATCCGGAACCGGGATTTCGTCAAATAAAAATGATTTATTTGTAATTAAAAGACTTTAACTAAAGTCTAAAAGAAGGGTAGCGATGTAGATGGTGTGCGAATTGTCATATCAACATGAGGAGCAGCGACATTCGAGCATACAAGATCTGTTTTCGCCGGCTAGATAACAAATTTACAAACGGCTGCTACATTTCATACCAAATCGTCATCAGCGAGAGCTACAAGAACCCTATCTCATAAAAGCCCACGGGCCTCAAAGACTACAGTCAAGCCCCATAAGATGATGATTGTAGCGAAGCAGTCTGTGGCTTATCAAATCACCGGATACCCCATAGGCTCGATCACAAATCACCGCGGCGTTTTTTTCCTCGAAAGTGCACACCAAGTTCACCGCCTCACAGCACCAGTAGGCACCAACCCGCCCTCTGTCCCAGCCGCGCCGCCGGAGTCCAGTCGTCGGTGACGGTGACCAGACCAACCCACCTCTATTCCAGGCGTCATCTCGGTGTGGGCTCGAGCCGCATCCCTCGCCGGTGGTGCCGCTCCGTTCCGCGGGAGTCACAGGGCCACACTGACACAGCCGCCGGCACCGCTGACGGCACGGTCAGCCCGGCCCCAGGGCGGGGGCGGGGGCGGCGGCGGGGGCGGCGCGCACCTGGTGGCGACCCGTGTGCCGACCCGCCGGCGCCGCCATTTGGGTCACTGCTCTCGGTGCGGCGCCGCCCGGCCCGCTACGCTCCCCCGCGCACCCACTTCCGGTCTGTGGGACCACGCCTCTGGCGGGGAGGGGGAGGCGACGGGAGGACTCCCACGGACACGGGCTCCGGTCGTATATCTGTGGTCATTGAACATCAGGCATGTTTGTTATATCCTGTCAATCCGTGGACACTGCCCCCTAGACGTCTACCGCCGCCATCCCCCGGTCTCTGTGGTGCACTTGTCCCAGACGGATCTGCCCTTCTGTCGCTCCATGACCAGTCCTCCAGCTTTCCTTTCCAACATTGGATCCCAGACAGGACTGACGGGGCTGTAACTAGCTCATAGCCATGGACTCAGACCTTTTTATAGCAGCCATGATGATGAGTGATTGTAGAGTTGTGTTAGCGACTGATGCCGCATTTCGTATGTTATAGTGATATACTGCGAGTATATAGTATATACTGCGAGTATGTACCACGAGTAAAGAATGCTTGACGAGCAACTGGTAAACCCTTATGCCCACTCGAGTCGGCACTTAAACCTCGCCGGTATAGGGGGTGGGGGGAGGGGGGTCGAACAGACCCCCCCTCTCGGTTTTTCGCGAATAACTCGCGTAAAAAGCGGCCGATTGCAATCAAACTTTCAGTACCCTCGCGTTCATCAATTTTGCACCTAACTTGAAAATTTAATGACCCTGACCCTAATGACCTTGACCTGTGACCTACTTTTTGAGGCCATGTTTGGCCGGAATCGCGATTCGGCGTATGTCGGCTCGCATTAGCCGCGCGATTGCAGTCTTTTTGTGGTTTTAAGCGTTCAAACATGGGATATAATGTTGCTTCCATGCATTAGGGTGGGTTTCAAGGTCACCAGAAGGTCAGGTCAGGTCATTGACCTTTGATGAACTCGGTTCACTTTTTCGAGTTTTACATGTTTCTAGGCTGGTTTTTGGAGCTGAATTCGAATTTAGCAACCATTTTAACATTTACGATGTAGTTTTGGTGCCTTCGTAACATGTTACGAAGCTGTCAGAGAGAGGCGGCTGCCACCTACTACGAATACCCTTACTTGTTGACCTGACCTGACCTGACCCGACCTGGCCTAAATGCATGAAGACATCATCTGTGATCAAAACTAGCATGATATTCGTGATCAGCACCTCGAAAAATCCCGTAGCAGCTACGCTTTACGACTTTCTAACAGGTCCCGATTTTCCCGACTTTTGGGTCATTGACCTGACCTGGAAGGTCAACCGATGACCTAGGACCTTAAAAATTGGGTATAATCGGCTTCCTCTCGTCACGGGCAACACGCTCGTTTTTTCCGCGAAGCTCTAGCTCGATCAGGGGCGAAACGGCAAGGGGGTCCAACGGACCACCCCCCCCCCCCCTTATACGTTCGCGGCTGGAAAAACACCAATACGGGCGAGGGTTAACCAGTGTTCATACTCTATAGTCCTGTACACATACACGAAAGCTAAACTGTCCTATGATATGGTCAGTTTTCACGCGATTATTATTTATTCCTTTTTTGAGCTAACATTTAATATAGGGCTTCAGTCATCAAACTACAGATGATGGATGTAGATATAGTTTTTATCGTTGTTCGTCTTGGTTTGTCTAGCATTCTGGGAGTACGGCGTCATTGCCCTGGTGGACTTGGGGACAGGTAGCGGGCTCTCGGCGTCGGAGTTCAGCAACTATCCCGCCACATTAGCTACCAAAGCTGAACGGATAACGCAATTAAGGGAAGCTACATATGCTGCTTCGTTGTTTTTTTTTATTCTGCGAAATGAGCTGGTTGATACCTTTTTGATCGCTGGACGAGAGAGATAGGGGGTTTTCTGGTGCATTGGCTACCACTGGAACATCATTTAGTGGTCGGGGTGGGCAGTGGTGTATACTGCAGTGTACACTGTACATTCATTGCATAGTGTAAGCGCTGGGGTATGTGCGTATATTACGAGTGTGTGTGTGTGTGGGGGGGGTTGTCTCGTCACCCCAGCGCACCATCCGTCACAGACACATTACCAGCGGCGGGAGGCGGAACTGGTGACGGTTCCGATTGATTCCGGTCCACAAGTACCGTGTCCGGTACTGAGCGTCCCCCCGCGCCCACATTCCGAGCCCCACCCCACCCCGCCCCGCCCCGCGCGGGGCAGCGGCCGGCCGCGCCTCATTACAGGGGAGCGGTGAAGGACAGGGGACTTTGAACTGCTAATGGGACGCGCGGTCCTCTGTGAGGTCTGAGAGGTCATGGATTACTTATGGATGTTAGTTATCCATGGAGGGGTCGTAGGGATAGGGAACCAGCATACAATCAGGTGATCGACTCCTTCCTACTAGCTGATGATGCCCCGAGCCCCCAAGATCAACTGTTTCAAAGTCTATCTGAGTCAATCTAACCCGCGCCCCGTATGGCTATTGTCGAGCCCTACCGCCGTTTCGCTCCCTTCCCCCCCCCCCCTCCTAAGATGTTGAAAAAGTTACCGACCAATATTCAAAATTCAAACGGTGCTCGATAGCCCCACCAGGGAACTACCTTGTGAACACATTTCATTGACCTAGGTGCTGCCGATGACGTCATAGGATATGTCAAGCTTCACTTGACCTGACCTTGGCCTGACTTTGACCTGAAGCTCATCCTGATATGGTCCATGCCACTATCGAGTGTGCCCATTGAATTATATAAATTAAATGAAGCATAAACCATGTGTCGCACATGTCTTATAATGTTATGTTTTTGTTGACCTGATTTGACCTTGACCTTGACCTGTGCATGCCATCATATGCAGTTCATCTTGTCTTGGCAGCATAAGAACACGATTTGGGTAATCAATAACCCTATTCCTGGCGGGGGGGGGGCCTCAGGAGCCCCCCCCCCCTGAGGTTTTTTGGTTATTTCTCCCAAACGCGTTGAGCTAGGAAGCTCAAATTTTCTGACTTTTCCTAAAAGGCTTCTACGCAACATGTCTGAAAATTTTGAGTTGATCTGACCTCAGGTCAGGTCACCAGAGGCGGTTTGGTGACCCTACCTCAGAAAAGTTTGCAATCACGCCAGAGCTAGAGTTTTTGACCGATCAATTTCTTCTCTTCAGGGTTTAGTTAGGGTACCAGTATGTGCAATTTGTATATCTCGGAATTTTGATATCGGTGACCTAAGGTCAGGTCAATTTCGCGACCTCCCCATTATAAGTCAATGGGGGAAAAATCAACTCCCTGTTTTTACCACTAAAACGGGTCGGAATGGCCCCATATACCATACATGACTTCATATACGATCAACCTTCACTACCTTGAGGTCTGTTTTGCTGTTGGGCAGCTGTGAGGTCATGTGACGTCATCAAAGGTCACCAAAGGTTTTTGGCCAATAACTCCGTACAGGAACAAGATACATACGCGTGGATGGTCTCATTGTGTTCAGCTCGTCAAGACGCATCGAATGATATACATGATGACCTCGAGGTCACGTGACCTGAGGTCAACCTTTGACCTTGACCTTTCGAGGTCAACTTATATATCATTCGATGCGGATTGACGAGAGGATCACGATGATGCCCTTAGTTTGTTCCTATCTTGACTAATTCGAAAGTTATTCGAGAAAAACTCTCTCCATATCTAGCGCCGCCATTTTGACTTTTTCGACCCCTGTGACGTCATCTTTGACCTGACCTGAAAATGACCTTAGTAAAAATTGTAGATCTTGACCGTGCGTATCCGATGCCGTTTACCGCTTGTCGCTATCTTGCTTCGTTCTCGAGATCTCAGGGGGGGCCGAATCGGCCCCCCCCCCCCCCCCGCCAGTTTCTTGTCCCGGCGGAGCCCGCCAGGAATAGGGATAAAGTATGTAGTACCTAATCGAGGGTATTCATTATTCATTCTGCCCATTCTTTGCCAACTGCGCTCCAAAGCTGATAATGTAGAAACTAGGATTTTGTACCCTGGACCTGACCTTCTTAGCAAAAAAAAATGGCTCTAAAGGTCCGTCTTGTTAATAGCTTTCGATTACCGTTTTTTTCAGTCTTTCTGTGACCATCAACTCGGAAGTTTGACAGGGGGTCAGAAATAGAATCTCCCCCTCCCCCCCCCCCCAGCAGGGCGCATATGCCTGAATAGCCCAGCGGGTGCGTGAGTTAATAAAAGTGTTGAACTCGGGTCAAGGTCAGGTCAGAGCCCCTCTGCTCTCAGGTCACGAAGTTGGTCGGAGGAGGTCATACCACATATTTTCAATAGAATCAAGGGTTTATATTGACGAAAGAAGGTCAGCAATGCAAAAGCTAAGCATCAGACCTTGCAAAAAGTGCATGAAATCATGATTCCGTCTGCTTGAGATAGTTGTAGACATAGACCACTATATATCTGGACTGTGCACGGATTTTGCCGACTGCTATTAGGGCCCTGCTGGGAAATTCGACGTAGCACGCGGAATTGTGTATTGACGCTCTAGTAAGCCCATTTAAATGAAAGTAACTTCTTAAATGTGATGTATATTTCAATAAATGTATATTTTATAGCATGATTTTTAACACGATAAATAAATAAAAAGCACTTATAGACAGGTATATCACACTGTATTAAGTTCAAAGCATCAATAGACAGGAACAATCCGTGATCGGTCGTTTTTGACAAGAGACAGTCTGATGACATATTGGACACACTGCAGATTAATTTGCCTGTCTAAATCAGACACGCACCCGGCTCGATGCTTTGAAAGCCCACATGATCTGCGCCACGGAATTACGAAGATTCCTATGGGTAAATAACAAAGCTGCCGGTGCTGCGTTTTTAGCGAGACCGTCCGAGGTGACCTGCTGGGCCACAACTGTTCCCTGCTTCCACTGAGGCCGATTTCATGCTCAGCATAGGGACAGAC